AATAAGACACATACTTCTTAGAATAGTGCAACATGCTGTGCCTATTTCTCTGGGATAACTTTGGTACAAAGGCGAAGCCAAATAGCTACCATAAATGATCTTTTATTTCAGAAGCATCAGTACGGGCGTTTGATGGATAGGAGGTAATTATTCTAATAATTCGCCAAAATCGACAAAATCCATATCGTTTTTTAAAGCCAAACCTGGATGTCACGATTCACTCTTTAAACCAGACATTGGACAAGATGCGTAGCGCAAACTCTTACTGACCAAAGAAGAAACTGATACTTCAATTGAATGATTTTACCTAACCTGAGATGGCGATCAGGCTCTATTTTTGTTTCGCTTCATAAATGAAATTCTATTGCCTGTACTTCTGTTATCAACTGTTTAATTTCCCGTTCTTTTAGAAACAAATTTATCTCATCGCGTTTAGGAGGTAATTTGATTCATTTTTACAATTAAGGAAGAATTTTATATTATCATTTAAATGTAATTTAAGTAACTATTAAACTGATCATCTTAGTTGTAATGAAGGCAATAAACTGAATTGCTTTGACGTTCCCTCTTCATGAATCGAGTTCGAACAGGGCCCATATTCGGATAGCACCTATATAACTGAAGTGAATACCAGGTATTGCTGGTTTTCACATGACCTCACCAAAGATTAAACTAAGGGCCTGTTTACATGGAGGTGGGGAACCTCAGATAAGTGAGGTACCATGTAGAGGGTCACCTCACCTATCATGTAAACATGATCAAATTAAAATGAGAGGTTATATCGACAGCCGGGGTAACCCACCTAAGCGGGTTACCTCACCTACCTGGGCTCCCCCACCTCCATAACAGGCGCTAAAAAGCTAACGATCCTACTGAGTTTTTACTTTTGTGAAGTATTAGAGCAGCAAACAACTATACAAATTGTCACTTCGAAAGTTTTCGTCGTTTTGTGATAGTGCATTATAGGCTTATTGAATTTCTGAGCTTCTGCTTGACGCGGCATTTACATGACGGCTGAGAGAGGTGTCGTGTGGCTTATATTGGGGGAACTTGTTAACTGATCGTTAACGGTCCTTGTAGGTTAGATTCGTGGAGAGATGAATTTACGTTTTCAATTCGTAGCAAAACTCAGCGCGTGATGACTGATGTCTCTGTTGGTCTCCGCCCGTTCGAATGGGCACCAGCATAGCGTCTCCATACAAAACTGTACAAATTTGGGTAAAACATTTCTCCGGATATTTCGCATATGAAAAAGTTGCACCTACCTGAATCGATCTTGACGAAGGTCTAGCTTTGATCCATAATAGAGCTCGAATAAGCAGTTTCAGCATGATCGTCCGAGTGAACGTAGTTCTGAACAGCACTGTTGTAGACAGTGACTGACGTTTCCACCTTAATTCTAGTTACTCTCAACCAATCCCTGTCAGGAAAGCTTCAAGAAAATCCTAAACATTTCTGGTCTTCGTAAAGCCAAAAGAATTCCAGAGACTGTCGTTTTTGGCAACGTTCACCCACTGACTTGACTTCCAAAGTGGAGCTTTTAAACAAGTTTTTTCCAATCCATTTATTCTAAATCTTCTTCAGGTGCCAATTTATCTCCTCCCCTAAGTTGTGTCACAACTAAATCTTCAGAAGTACAAGCAATTTTGAGCAAACTTGATACAAGTAAAGCTCTTGGCGTGGATAATCTACCGACCCGAATTCTAAGAGCTTGTGCAAAAGAACTATCCATAACCTTAGCTCATCTGTTCAATTCATCGTTGAGATCTCGTGTAACGCCTACGTTATGGAAATCTGCTAACATCACCCCTGTTCATAAGAGTGATAACAGAGAAGTTTTTGACAATAATACATCTATTTCTCTGCTACCCATTACTGCTAAGTGCCTGAAGCGTATAGTACACAATGCTATCTATACACATAAGTCACCTTAGTTAGATCGTGTGTTGTTTTATGTCGTTGGTAGTCTGTTGCTGTTAATTGCGAGTGACCAGGCAGTCTAGAAAAGGTATTTTACCGTTTTCGATCTTCGTGGTAAGGCTGTATGTCTGCGTTCTGTCTTTTAACGTGTTGGTGAAAATCGTCGATTTCGTCTTTTGTATACAGCGTTAAAAGTGTAGTCAACGTAGCGCAACCAAAAAGATATAGTTCACGTATATGTAGCTAGGACTTGTTCCTGGATGTTTCGCATAACACTTTCTGCTACAACAGAAACTGGAAAGCCCATAGTTGTACCGTGTTACTGTTTGTAGTATTTGCCGTTGTACTGAAAGTACGTCGAAGTTAGGCACAGGTTGAGTTCACTCAGTTGAATAGTAAGGGAAACTCTAAATAAATATTAGCCACGCCAATTTTCTGCCGCATGTCTATTCGGCTTGTAAAACGTCTCCCTAAGGTTGGATTCAAGAACGATTTCTTACATGTGTCCTTTCTCCAATATTTCCTTGCATTGCTCAAAATCATCGACAAAAAGTGTCTCAGAAAACCCTGCTTGCCATCAGATAGAGTCTGGCAGAATTCTTCCTTTTTACCAAAGCTGTTTTGCATGGCTTCTAATCAGTACGTGAATGAGGTATCGGTCGTTCTGCAGCACTACGGACTACGGCTACGGTTAAACATGCTACTGCGCATGATCAAAACCACGTGACTGTTCATTTTTCCTGCGTATTCCTGCGGCTACGGTGAGTTGTTGAGCTGTTTCGTGTAGTCGAGACTACGGAGAACATTTTGTTCGTATTTTGCCGTCTCGGTAGTTCAATAATCTCGTCTTTTCGTGAAAATGTTCTCAATTCACCTGCTTTAAGTGAGGGGGGAAGTGAAATATGTAAGTTGTGTCTAATTTCTGCTCAGATTTACGCTTTTAATCCACCGTTGTGACAACATTTTTATCTAGCTAAGCTCATATTTAAACAAGCTTTGCTGTTTATACGCAGAATTCAGATTGACGGCCGAGGAGAAGAGAAATCATGCAGGTACTTTACTTTCACTTCGCACTTGAAAAGTTTCAATGTTTGTTCGAACTGATTAGTGTGTCTTTCTACTTGTGTAACCTTTGTTTATGCGAGTTTTTGTATCGCATTTGCTGAATTGAATGAAAATGATGTAAACATCTTCGAGACAATCGAAACTCGGCATTTCAATACTTCAAACTAAATCAGATCAGTAGTCGGAGAAGTCCATCTTCTAAATCTAATAAATGAGCTATTACTATTTCTGTCTATTTCTTATTTAATATTTGACATAAGAATTCATGGGCGAAAAAAATAAAACCTGCACAACCAAAATTTTGTTTACCAATTTCACCCGACGAAATTGCTTCCTTCAAGTATGGAAGAATTTGTTCATTGTTCTAAAGATAAGATCAAATGCAAAACTGACTTGCATTTTTGTGAACTGTGATGAAAACAAGAAAATCTTTGCGTGTTGTTTCCCTCTCCGCCTCTTCTCTCGTACTCTACTGTCTGTAGTGTAATCTTAACGTTCTATATTTGCGCTACTCAACCCAGTGCTACAAAAAAAGGACAACGCTCGTCCAGCCGTAGTTCGTAGTCCGTAGTCTCCGTATCTTAAACTCCCTTTTGAAAGCGTCTGTCCAGGTGAGAGGTTCTTTAAGCAAAAAAGCAGTTTATCCCTTAAGTTAAGCCATTTAATGGACTTCAGGGCTCCTGAAACATGATCGTACTTTTTTAATACTGATAAAAATTTGAAAAAATTTTCTCAGGATTGGTAGAACTAAACGTGTTTCCAGTGATTTCAGAAGATCTAAATTTCAAAATTTTCTGGGGGAGCATGCCCCCAGACCCCTCTAGATAAACTTGCGGTTACTGCGCTCGTTGAGCTCGTACTCCGCGCAAGGCAGCCCTATCAATCCAAGATATGCTCCGCATTCCTTGAACCCTTTAATTTCACCAAAGCGTAGGGGTCCCATCTCAGTCAAAAACTCTTAGATGAAAATTAATAGGTTTGTTCAAAGAGTATTTCACAGATCCTTAAGTGTATAGTTTGACTCGTAATGAAAAGCCTTCTTTTTCAACCCCAACCACGCAAAAAAAATATCCTACAAAGTGTTGGTCGAAGCAAAAAAATCATGCAAGCCATACTCTAAAAGATAACATTCATAATGAATGAAGGGGTTAAAGAAAACCATACGTACACCATATCAAACATCCCTCCTTCCGAGCACACCAGAAGTAAAATGGTTGGCCTCTTACAACTTGATTATATCTGCAAATATTTCGAAATTTCATCACTGAAAGGTAAAGACAACCTACGAAACACAACAGGTCATTTTAATTAAATACAGAAGTTAATATTTTCTCAAACTCTTCAACTAAATTTCCACTTGATAACCGTCGACAGTCAAGAGCTCCAAAAATTAACCACCAACCGTCAAAATTGGAAGGGATTTATTACCGTCAACCGTCAAAGCTACCACCCCACTGAGACCCTCCTTAAAGTTCCCGGTATTTGTAAATAAATAAAGGTTTTACCTCTTTCGCCTCAGATTTCGCGGAAATGACTTCGACAAGAGGATGTCGGCAAACTTGTTTGTAAGAAGGAGTAATATGTTGAATAATACGGAGGGAGTGGTCTCCCAGTCTCCTTAGCCAGGTAAAGACGATTCAGCAAACGTTCACTAGAAATGTAAAAAAGAAGAAAAATTAAATCAGCCCGCTTTTTCAAGAGATGATTACGCTAAACGTTTTGAGCCTAATGTCTTTTTGAGATGCAGTAGAGCCTCTATTGGACGACCATAATACAAAACACAATTAAGATAAGTCAGATTAACTCGTTTTCCAACTTTTATTTCACTAACTTTAACTACAGAATTTATGCCTTTGTGACTATGCTCATGGCGTAATATTCGACAACTTAATTTATCTCTTGAAAACTCAAAAAACTTAACAGCAAAACACTTCGAGCCTAAAATAAGTTATAGAGGTAATAATAACTAATTAAGGCAAAATAACATTTTCACAAGTTTTATGGGACAAAAAACTCTAGCGTAACAAAAAACCCTCACTAAAAAGAAAGAAACCTTATTACTATCATCCTTCTTTCGCTTTCTAAAAACGATTAACAAAAAAGGCAAGTGAAACTATCAACTAACTCTCTACAATTCTTAAAAATTATCAGAATAAGCTGATACTACGCATGCTAAAATGTTGCTTTACTTTTTTAGCCTTAAGAATTTTAATAAAAAATATAACAAAAGTTAAACATGTTTTACCAAAGGGTAGATAATGCCTTACAATACTGCAGCCAACATAGTTCATTCAGTTTTTGTTCTGTTCTTCTGTATCACCACTTGATACTTGTTTGGCCTGCTCTTCAGGTTCTTGCTCATCAAGTTCCATGGAGACTTCCACGTTTCGTTCCTTTGGTAACAAAGCTGGCCACGTGACGCTTCTATGATTAGCAAGCCTTCTTTGGAGAGTCGTGACGTCACTGAACCAAGGTCTGCGTCATCAGGCAACAAAACGGGATGGCTGTAGTCACGTGAAAAATAGAAACCTTGGTCTTCGACGCAGATCCAATTTAACCACGAACCTGCCATCGTCTTGTTTTGCTTTTTCTTCAAGGATTCTGTCGCCCTCAAGGACCAGAACGCTGCCCCGTTTTAGGTTTTTGATTACACGCGACTTACCGTTGTAGGATCAATTCCGTCTGGCACCTTAATAATCTTTTTAAACTCATTATTCTCAAATCTATCTTCTCCCTCTGATCGATGCTGACCGTGTAAGATAATATTTTCGCCGTCCACATCGAGTGAAATTTCTTCTGCCTTGTACTGCTTTAGTGGGAGAGAAGCTATCTTGATTGGTGCTTGGACTGCCAACTTATTTTGGCTGCGTTGAAAGCTGGTGTCTCGCGCTTGTTCGTCATAAGGAAGGGCTACATCTCTCCATATATCATTCAAAAACCCAAAACCTGGAACAGCTTCATTGTACTCTCTGCTGTAGAAATAAATTTATGAGAATATTGACAGTAAAGTAGGTAAGACTGACTTAACCTGTATGGTTCAGACGCTTTATAATTAGCTGGTAATTTATTTAAAAAGTCTCATCGTCTTAAAAGCTTTCCCTCTATAAAGTTTAGTCACAGAGAATAAACTCAACCCCTCTTTCCCTTAACCGTTCACTGAGTTCAGTTTTTTTATTATGAGATGTACTCTTTCGTATTAAACGACTCACACCAAGCAAGAATACTCGGGCGGAACTATTGTCCACAAAAGAAGGCAAAAAAAAAAAACAGAAACAGAAACAAAATGAACAAGCCGGAAAATTAAGCTTCTAGTGTGAGCAAAATTGAGCAATAACTCAATTCCTACCGACAAAGGAACAAATCTGTTTCCGAAAAATTTACCGGGACATCGGATAATAAGTTGGAAATCCGAAGACGAGAGCCATGTCATCGAAAACTTTGTTTGTAATTCCACTTCTTGAAAATTGTCAGCGACATCTTGAGTCTACAAAGGACTTTTCGAACTGTTTCTCGGTGAGCCTGAAACACACTTTTAAAGAGAAAAATTTCTTTCTCGAACGATTTATTGTTACTAAAATTAAATACCCACAGTCAGCGTTTTGTAAAAAAATGACTTGTTGTTTTTCTAGCTTGTTTTCGTGAAAAGACTAGACGTTTCTCGAAAAATTACTTTCTTGAACTATCAATGCCAGTTACTAAAATTAAATCATTTGTCAGCGTTTCGTAAGAATGACCCGGTCGTTTTTTGCCTGATTCGTGAACACACGAGAAGATTCTCGAAGTTTCGAGAAAGTCAAGCAGTTTTACATCGCGCGAAAGGTTTTTCGGGATAGGCTTCCCCCATTTTCAATAAATGATAAGAACCAAATGGCGGACACACGAACGTCATCTTTCGTTGTGACTTATACGCCAATAAGTGTTAACGTTCAAAGAAAATCAGATCGGACACTACCTCACTTATGTCTAAGTCAAACATCATAGCTGCGATCTCATATTAAAAGACCTTGTAACATTTCGGAACTCATAATTTACATCTCACGTTTTGTATAATTAGCGAACGCCGCTTGATGCTGGAGTTGGAAAATACTCTTCGCCAGCGACGTACACAAGCAATACCTTTTTACCGGTGGGAACTTTGACTTCGTTTGCTCACTTGAACAGCAAGGTATACTTAAATAACACCGCAGCAAAATCTCCCAATAGCAGCCAATGTTTAAAATGTTATCTTCGCACACTATAAAACTAGGAAAACGGAAGTATAAATAATTTTTGCAACTTCGGTAGCTTAGCCTTCGTAAATTACAATCGCTTGCTTAACTACTACCATCGAGTAAATCACAAGATGTCGGTCAGTCAGGTCAATTCCCGTTGAACTATACATTTATCGAATAACCCCAGACGAAACTGTGAGAAAGCTGCAAATTAATTAAGTTAAATACTTCTATATGACAATTATTCACTAAAGTGGAGGTTTGCGGCGCGCTAAATAACCAACAGCCTGAGCCAGCGACACTGAGGTGAAAATCTTTTTAGTATATTCTAAAACAGTGAGATTATTGAGCACAGGAATGATGATTTGTAACTCATGTATATTGCTGCCAACTATTACAATTTTGGCTCGCAAATAACCGAACGGCTGTCACGTTTTCTCGCCGACGAATAAAACTTTTGAAGGCATTTGTTTCGGTCTTGCGGGTAAATTGTTCAAAAATTTGTGATATCGTTCTGTATTTGAAACCATTCTGTAAAAACCCATTTAATTTAGTTTTAAACATATTTATGAACATGTCGGCTGAATGACGCAACGCAAGACAATTGCATTTGTAAAACAAAACCTTTTTCACCGGTTTCATCGATATATTCAGGTTTATAAACAGAAAAAGGTTTTCCTGTAAAAATTGCCAAACCGAATTTCGTCGCCTTCTTGTTGTCGGGAACAGCTTCTTCGTTCACTTGTGAAATGTACGTGAATTTCTTCGATTGTTCATACGGTAGCAAACCTGGAATCAGAGCGCGCGAACACATTATGCAGTCTGTTTCAGACTAAATTGAATTATTTTGGTTTCGTTTACTTTGTCTCCAGCCTATGTAACTTTGGTGCCGGCGAGGGCAATGTATGATTTGTATTTCCTTTAGTCTTGAAAGAGTTAACACTTTTGAAGTTCGCTTGCTTCCGCTCTTACCCCCAGTCAGTGACCGAAAGATAATTCGAGGAAACAACACCGGGGTAATTTGTCCTCCACCCTCCCTCCCTCCATTTCACTATTTAGCATTTCTTCGTTTTCCTCGAATTCGGAGTTGGCTTCCGGGTAATGTTGTTGAACCGCAAAGCAAGTGGCTTGCTCCCTTAGAGAAGTCTGAATTGACCAATCGTTATTAATGCCGTGCAGTGACGTTATTACCAGAAAACTGGGTAGTAATTTTTTGATCGTCCAAGCATTCGCATATTATGTATAATAAAATATTGTAAGAAATTTTAGCGGGACTGTTGTTCGACATTCAGCGGAATGCACGCATTAAGGAAGTTGAAATATTTCGACAATCTTTATCGTGGACAGCAAAATTGCCCTTGTCTTCGAAACTACGACTTGTTTAATTGAACCACGAATGAAGAGTAATGCGGAAAGTCGGTAGCTTTTCATTTAAAGCAGCTATGTGGTTTCGGCAGTGATTTCGTTTATACCGCGAAGCATCAGCAATCGATTTTTGGTAGATCTACAAATCGACTAACTTTCGTAAGAAAGATCTGGTCTTTTTCTGTTATTCGTGAATACGCGAGAAGTTTCTCGAATTTTCGACAAAGTTATGCAGAGTCTGACCTCATATACAACAACTGACAAATTGGCGTAAACAGTGCTACACAGCTGTTTTTAGTGTCGTCACGCAACGCTACTCTCCACAAAAAAAAAATAAATAAATAAAATAAAATTCAAATGTTTTTTGCTAGGAAACACACTGTTGAGATCTCAATGTAGTGTCGTTACGTTGCGTTATCTTTCGTACACACAAGTTCTTTTGCGTTACGAGAATTCGTACCAAAAAGCGGACACAAGCGAACCCGACAAGTTTCTAATGTATACAAAAGAAGAACTAAACGCAATACACGTCCATACAGAGACTGGAGACAAGGAAAATTAAAATGAACAATTTTCGACAAGTGCGGCAAATTTGCAGCTTCTTCACAGTTTCTTCTCGAGTTATTGCTTTGCTGTAGATCAACAGGAATTGATCTGACTTCCGTGCATCTGGCGACTTTCTCGGAGGTTGTAATTCAGCAAGCTATACTTTAAGAAACATGTTAACATATGGAAATAAAAGTAACAATAATAAATAAAATTCACCGAACCGTCATATAACCAAGGCAAACTTACTAATGCCGCAAAAATTTTAACTTCGGTTTCCCTCCTTGTTTAGTAGAGGAAGACAACACTTTAAATATTGGCCCTGGTTAGGAGATTTAGCTGCGGTGCTTTTCAGTATACCTTGTTATTCGAGCGAGCTGCCGATGTGATAGTTCCCACTGGTAAAAAGGCATTGCTTGCGTACGCCGCTGGCGAAGAAAACTGATTCCAACTCCTGAGATGAGAACGTGAGATGTAAATATGAGTTCCGAAATGTTACTAGGTCTTTTGGTAGATCACAGCTATGATATGCGACTCAGACATCAGTGAAGTATCATCTAATCTGATTTTCTTTTAACTCTAATACTTGTTGGCAATATATGTCACCACGAAACATACCGTTCCGGTGTCAGCCATTTTGCTCTAGTATAATTTGTTGTATATGAGGTTAGAATACCCCAAAAATCCTTTCGCGCGATGTAAAACTGCTTCACTATCTCGAAACTTCGAGAAACTTCTCGTGAATTCAAGAATAACAGAAAAAGATCGAGTCATTCTTATGTATCTTACGAACCAGTGACGAATGATTTAATTTTAGTACCTGGCATCGATACTTCAAGAAAGTAATTTTTCGAGAAACTTCTGGTCTTTTCACGAAAATCAGAAAAACAACAAGTCATTATTACAAAATGCTGACTATGGGTATTTAATTTTAGTAACGATCGATGGTTCGCGAAAGAAATTTTTCGCTATAAAAGTGCGTTTTAGGCTCACCGACAAACAGTTCAAAACTTTCTCTGAAGAATCAAGATTTCGCACGAGATTTTCAACTGAGTGGAATTGCAACCAAGGGTTTCCATAACATGGCTCTCGTTTTCGGATTTCAATCCTATTATCCCACGTACCGGTAAGTTTTTTACAAAGCTTCATCGTTTTAAGACTTCTTTCTATAAGCGTTAGTCACTAAATAAACTTAACGTCTCCTCCCCTTAAATCCTCACTGAGTTAAATTTTTGAGTTATGAAATGCAAGCTTTCATTAAAAACGACTGACGACATGCAAGAATTCTCGGTCAGAAGTATTATTGAGAAATCAAGGGAAAAGAAAACTGAAAGTGCCTGAAAATTAGGATTCTTGTGTGACCAAAATTGAGCAATAACTCAATAATTACCGAGAAAGGTGAGGAAATCTGTTTGTGTAAAAAAAAAATACCAGTTAATAATTAAAAACGTTTGAGGGATGCAGGTTAACCCTATTCAGACTTGGCTTTTTTGGTCAATCTGTTACTGGGGGGCTCCTCGGACCCCCCCCCTCTGTATCTCTGGAACCAATAATGCTAGGGTCATGAAATTTACACACAATGATCATCTCCGTACAAAGAAGCCCCACACCCAGTTTTGACTTGCCACGCCCAATGATGACGTCACAGTGACATCATATTCCGATTTTTCAATGTTTCTTATTATTTTTCCACTTAGATACGTAAAATAATATATAGATTTAGCCAGGGCTAAAAGCGAAGCTCCCATTAATAAATTTATATTTTAAATCAAACAATGAACTTGTAATCCACAAATCAGTTAACTTAAGGGCTCATTCATGTGACTTTTGAGGGAAAGGATAAGTTATTTTAGAGTGAAAGATCTTACATCGAGTTGAAAGCCTAAATATATGTACACCCAAAAAATGGCAAACATCTTCTATCACATTCAAGAGCCATAATGGCTCTTGATCACGGTAGATTAGGCCTCGAAAACAAATTCTTGGAAAACAAATCAGGCCGCATTTTTTTTGCGTTCGACAGGTTTACTTTACAAATCCTTGCCAACAAATCTGAGGGTGTGTAAACCAACCTTTTATACTTTTTATACATCACATCTGAGGTGAAACAGTACTTTTTATCATACAGACCTCGGACAGAATACGGCATTTCACAATTTTTCAATGTCCAGGACGATCAATCGTGGGCTTTTAGCGAAACCGTTCAAAAATTGCCAAAATCACCCATACGTCCAGCCGGTTCTCATTTTTAGTGCGAGCTGTCAGTGTGGTCGAGTGTTTGAATGAACTTTAATGGAGATACGTCTCAACATAATAACGAATTTATTATCATTACTTTTTGTTATTTAATGGTTCCAGCTATAACGATGTGTAATCTTATAAAGCGTTTGATACGTGGGACATTTCTATGTACTCCTGCAAGCGATGTTCATGAACGATGAAAACAAACACCACGGACAAGCGATTAAAATTGCAAGAGAGACTACTAACAATAAATAAAAGAAATATAATTCGCTAAAACATTTACAGAGACAACAATTTTCATTCACGAAGACAAGTATTAAAGTGTCTCTAAAAATCCTGAGTCTTTAAGCTTTAATAAAGCTTAAGCTTAAGTTTATTTTGTTTTACTTTCAGCCGGCCTCCCGGTGTTTGTTTTTTTTTTTCAAAGATGAACTCCTCGAAGCAAGAAAATCACTCAAAGTTTTCTTTCTACAGCCAAATTTATAACTAAATATTCTTCGGAACGTTTGTTTTCTATTTGCTGTGAAAAAAAAATCTGAAGGCCTTTTAAAGTCCTGTAAGCTTATATCAAACCTGATACTAGATCAGATCATTGACTCAAATCTTAACAAACGCGCAAAAACTTGCCGCATAAACTGTGCTCGACTTCATGAAATTAGATATAACAAAAACAAACATCAAATACAATAATTACTCAGGCTTACCATTCGAGATTCAGTTCCTGAAAGATATCAAGGAAGGCCATAGTTGCTTGAGACTTTTAAACCCTCTTACGCATTGAGCAAGGTGAAAGACGAAAACGATGCCATCCGAAATCGGATTACCCAATTTTAACAAGCGACGCATTTCTCAACCAAAAACCCAATAAACAAACCAGCCATGGATAACAGAAGACTCTTGATAGCAGCTGTATTTCATTTTGTACATCCAGTGGAAAAAGACAGTTAAAAACATCACAAGTTGACACAAAACTCTGTCAAAGTAAACAACTTTCAAGATGCTGCATAAATTTTCCGCATGAACTCACCTGTCAAATTTTGACCAATCAGAGTACAAAAATTGGACGTAGAGCGTGACCAACGCGTGACCATGGTAAGAAAAGGTCTTCCCCGCCTTTATTTTTAAAAAAGTGGCTGAATTTTCGCGTCCGAGGTCAGTTTGAAATCAAAATCTTGACAGTGCGGGGCCATAGTGACATAAACACAACATATTTCATATGAATCATTGGAAAAAATAGACTTGAGCCTGCGATCATTTGAAACTGGTAATTTGTCAGCGGATAACTTCAAAAAAGTACTCGACCTCGATGGGTCGACACTTGAGCCCGCGGTACGGTCAGGTGACACTGGTCAGCGGATATCCTGTTTTGACAGCTGTCAATTGATCACAACATTGATGCGCAATTAGTTTTCTATTGGGCTCCCAAACCAGCTAGAAAGTGTGAGAGAAAACATTGGTTTCCCTGTGGTGCGGACGGACGGTCGGGCGTACGGTCACGTGATTACCAAATTTTCTCGGATGGGTAGATTACCACATTTATTATATACATACTGAGAAATACTCACCGAAAAGCTATGTCGTAAATTTTCGTACGCAAATTAGTTCTAGCCAATCAGAGGAGCGAACGATGGTTTTCACACGTGAAAAAAACGATACGTCCAATCAGAATCGCGAACGATGTTTTTTCACGTGTGAGAAAAATGATACGTCCAATCAGAAGCCACAGAGGTGTGTGAGTTTCGCGCCAAAATTCCCGCCTTTTATTGCAGCTTGCAGCGTCGCTTCGCACACATTCAACGAGAAAAGTTTTACTCAAGGAGTTTTTCTCGCTAAAAAAGTGAAAAACATTTCGGAAATGGAGTGGAATAGTTTCGTTTGTTTCACTGTCGATAAAAAAATACGGTAGAGAGCCGGCGAAACAACAGCGGAAAGGGATAAACAGAACGAGACGTAAGCTTTTGTTGTGCTTTTTGTCGGAGCTACTTTGCCTTTCATTTAAGCTTAAGCTTATATTGAAACCGGCCATTTTACTTAAATTCACTCATTTTCAATTGTGCATTGAGAACAAACAGTTAAGATTACTTATAGTTCTTGGATTAAACCTCATATCCTCACCGTCATTTATGTTTTTAACAAACGTTTTTACTAAAAAGCTGATACTTCGTTTTCGTTGTCATTTTGCGGTAAGTGTGTAGCGGCAAATTTTAGCATTTTTGAAAGATTTAAAATAAAAAGGCCCGCAAAATGATGAATGACTCAGTATGTATATAATAAACACAATACCACATGGAAAGTGCTTTGTACGGTATTTACGCACTCGTTGTTTTTGTATCAGAAATCTTACTCGTTCGCTGCGCTCACTCGTTCGATTTCTGATACGTCAACAACTCGTGCGTAAATACCGTACGCCAGCACTTTCCATGAAGTATTCTCTATTTCCTTAGCTATGGAGCTCCGCTATCAATAATATTGGTAAAGTCATCTCTTTGTTATCCTTTCTTATGAACTAGTAACAAGGAAACACTTGAACCCCGAGAAAAAGCAATAGGAAGCAATAAAATTTAAAATTTGAAATGGTTGTCCACCATCTTGGATCCGCCATCTTGGATTTCCGTTTTTTTGTTAAAATTATAATTTAAAGCACCTTTCAAAGGGGAAAAAGCTCAGAATGTATAAAAGAAGTATCAAACTAATGTTTATTACCCAAACAAATGACTTTGGAAGTGTTATTTGGAAAATAGAGCAGCATATTTGTCAAAGCAAAAAAGGGACAAATTTTACCCCACCCCTCCCCCCCAAATATTCGATGTTGAAACATTTTGATGTAATTCAAAAACTAGTCCCAAGCAAAGACCATTTTAACAACAAAGAGCACTATAAGTGCAAAAACGCGATCTTAAAAAGAAAAAATCACCATTTTTTAAATTTTCCAAAACCTATGTGTCAGAAACTGGTTGCCATGGCAACATGATTAATCACATGGACATGGTAATTATACCAAAATGTTCCTAGATAAATTTTAGGAAAAGTCAGAAAATTTGAACGTCATAGCTCTTTCGGTGTAGGAGTTATCACGATTTTGCCAGAGGGGGTGTTCGAAAAGCCCCCCCCCCGGTCTGAATAGGGTTAAGTCAGTCTTACCGACTTTACTGTCATTTTTCTCATTTATTTCCACAGCAGAGACTATGATGAAGCTGTTCCAGGTTTTGGGTTTTTGCATGATCTATGGAGAGAGATAGCTCTTGCTTCTGACCAGCAGGCGCGAGACACTAGCTTTCAACACCGCCAAAATAAATTGCCAGTGCAGAGCCCAATCAAGATTGCTTCTCTGCCACTAAAGCAGTACAAGCCAGAAGACATTTCACTCGATGTGGACGGCGAAAATATCATCTTACATGGTCAGCATCGATCAGAGAGAGAAGATGGATTTGAGAATAATGAGTTTAAAAAGATTATTAAGCTGCCAGATGGAGTTGATCCTACAACAGTGAAATCGCGTGTAATCAAAACTCTGAACAAAGGCAACGTTTTTGTCCTTGAAGGCGACAGGCGCGTTGAAGAAAAAGCAAAACAAGACGATGGCAAGTTCGTGGTTAAATTGGATCTTCGTGGATTTAAACCAGAAGATATCAAGGTCCAGCTTCGTGGACATGAGCTCGCAGTTACAGGAAAACACAAATCAGAAGACCAAGGTTTCTATTTTTCACGTGACTACAGTAATCGCGTTTTGTTGCCTGATGACGCAGACCTTGGTTCAGTGACGTCACGACTCTCCAAGGAAGGCTTGCTGATCACAGAAGCGTCACGTGACCCAGCTTTGTTACCAAAGGAACGAAAAGTGGAAGTCTCCATGGAACTTGGTGAGCAAGAACCTGAAGAGCAGGCCAAACCAGTAGCAAGTGGTGATACAGAAGAACAGAAAAAAACTGAATGAACTATGGTGGCTTATTCTAAGGCATTACCTACTCTTTAGCAAAAAATGTTTAACATCTGTTATATTTTTTGTTAAAATTCTTAAGGCTAGAAACATAGAGCAACATTTCAGTATGCGTAGTATCAGCTTTTTTTGGAGCAACACCTTTTAGAGGATAACAGGCTTATTCTGATAATTATTGAGAATTGTAGAGAGTTAGTTTATAGTTTCACTTGCCTTTTTTGTTAATCGTTTTTAAAAAACGAAACAAAGATGATAGTAATGATTGTTTTTATAATTTTTTTTTCTGTTTCGGTTTCTGTCTTTTAGCAGTGGTTTTTTGCTACGCTAGAGTCTTTTGCCCCATAAAATTTGTGAAAATGTTATTTTGTATTAATTCGTTATTACCTCTAGTGTTTTGCTCTTTAGTTTTTTGAGTTTTCAATAGATAAATTAAGTTGTCGAATATTACGCCTAGAGCATAGTCACAAAGGCATAAGTTCTGTAGTTGAAGTTGATGAAATAAAAGTTGGAAAACGAGTAAATGTGACTTATCTTGCATTTTTATCGTTAGTCGTTGATTAGAGACTCCACTACTTTTCCAAGAGACATTATACTTAAGGCGTTTAGCGAAATTATCTCTTAAAAAACAAAGGACTGGTTTCATTTGCATGGTGTTTTTCTTTACAACTATGGAGTATAGTGTGCTACAGCGTCTTTTACCTGGTTAAGGAGACTGGGAGAGTTCTCTCTCCATATTATTCGGCATCTTACTCTTTCTACAGAAAATCGGAGGCGAAAGAGGCAAAACCTTTATTTATACACCAATATCAAACCTAATTTGTCACAGACACCTCGATACTAAGTACTTTAAGGAGGGTCTCAATGGGGTGGTAGCTCAATTGTCAGCGATTGGTAAGAATTATTGGTTGTTTTTCTGTTACTCGTGAATAAACGAGTAGTTCAGTTCTCGAACTTTCAGGAAAATCCAGCAGCCTGTCGGTTTACTAAGCGCGAAAGGTTTAGGTGGTAGTCTGACGTCATCAGGGTAAAAGAGCAAAATGGTTTTTACAACAAACACTTTGTTCACACTCCTGGGCTCGTAAACCACGCAGGTGCCATGTGCGATTAGCTGTTGCTCTCATATCTTAGCTTCATCAAGAATTAAGAGAAGCCATAATAATGCGAATAGCCTTCTCTCAATTGTAAAGTAACTCTTTAACTGATCTTCCCGAATGGCGCAAGTTAGTTGCAATAAACTATGTCTATTTACCTATGATAAAGCACCAAGTGCAATCGAGTCGTGCGTTGCGTTCATGCATTGAAGTTGAGCTTTCATCATCTAAACGTTTAGTGTAAATATACCTGCTTGTTAAGATTTTTTTTGTTCATGGGGGTCGGATGGATTTAGAGGTCAGGGATCTCAGAAAAAATGGCTCTTTCCCTTTTTTAAGATGCTGGTGCGTAGTATCAGGCATAAATTTAATGACCAATAACCTCCCCTAGTCAAGCCATATGGTGAAAACATTGTGTACTTAGGGTTAAAAGCACCAAATTTGGTATGGTAATGGTACTTTGGCTGCTGAACAATATTAGCCATGGACCCCAGTCAGGGGGGACATTCTGTACTCAGGTGGGTGGGGCTGTTTCAGTTTCCAAACTAACTGCTGTTATATTGAAAAGAAAGCTACAGAGTTAAGCCGATCTTGCCATATCAATAAGTCGTGGTGTCCTAAGGAAGTTTAACAAGGTCTATTTAATCTAACTTTCTAGGTGGCGTGGGGGAAAGGTTTTAACACAGCTTAGGGGGAGGGGTAGGAGTATCTCTGTATGCATGTTTGCATAAGTTTCTCTTGTGAGGAAGAGTACAATGGCCTTTCCAGAATTCTGGCAAAATTTTAAATCATTTAGCAATTAGTTTCTCCTCTGAACTTATCCTTCATCTCCATGGTAGTCGTGATGGTGGTGGTGGTGGAGTTTATGGGGGGAGGGGCGGGGGGTGTGTTCGTCCTGGTGTAGTAAGAGCATGTTTCAACCTGCGGAAATAAACTACATGATTTAAGGCACTCTTTTAGGCTATTTAATCTCCTGATCATCGTGTAGCAAGGGGGGGAGGGGCGGGAGTCCTGGTCCCGTTTCACGTGTAAATTTTGACAAATTTCACGTATCACGTGCGCTATAAACCAATTTTCACGATTCATGAATTTGTCGTAAAGTTCACCCGTTACTCAAAGGGGTAAAGAATTCAAACCACAGTCATCATGGATCGCACTTCGCAATTCAGTCAACGATGGCAGCGTCTTTTCTTATCAGCAAGTCAGCAAGGTGACCTTAAAGGTTGTTAACGAGCACTCGAAACCATCGTCTCGTTGACAAATACAAGGAATTAGTCGGGTCTATCGGTACGAAGCTACCGCTCCAGGCGACAGTGAGGAGATAACCCTTCCAGAGCGAGTGCGAATTGATCTCAACAGAAAATTAATCGCATTGCTGTCAAGATCAGAAGAATCTCCTCGGTCTTCTTCTGAGTTCCATTCGTATCCCATCTTTACTCTCTCTCCAACAGGTAATTCTTTTGGTACATGTTTAAGGGAAGTGTTCCCGCAGAATCCTTTGTGGTGCACTGCGTCGCATTTCCATGCCCCGTAGCCCATTGTTGCATTACGCTTTAGTCACGTTAAGACATCTTTGCTAGGCAACTCGCCGGCTATTAGTGTGCTGAAATGGTGGAGAAGTTCTCAAGGTTTCTTCCCTTTTGTGCAAATAGCCGGGACTTTTTTGGCATCATTGACTCTCTGACTCCGGTGTGTGTGGTCAGACATTAGGACAACAAATCTCTTAAGCACCGGGGCATAGTGTCTTGAACACCCTTCAAAGTTTCCTAAGGTATGCAAAAAGTCCAGTGGCTTCTCCATAAGGCAGCCTTGTGGCCCAGGCGGTTTTCTCGTCCTAAGAAAGCCGATGTCTGACTGCATTTTGTGATCGTGATAAAAGTACAACACCTTATGATTGAGAGCCCTTATGATTGCTGTGCCATGTAAAGAACCAATTGCAGGGGGAAGAACTGGGGTTATGGTCGATTTTATGGACACCAGGAGACTTACATAAATTTGAAGTGGATTCTCACGATGAATCTTTGCGACGTCGAATCACAAAGTTAAATCTTAAAAGCTATAAAGAGCAGCTCGATTCTGTATGATGTTTCTTGACTGTGTCTCAATACTATACTAGCTCCATTGGACAAGGATGATCTCAATTAAACTTCTTAAAAACTGAGAGATGTGAGGCTTCTTCACTATCAGTGTTTCTTTCTGTGGCGTTCTTCTAAACAATTGCATTGTCTTCACTTAAGGCAAGAGAGACTTCAACACCATCTCTGTATGGCGTTAAATCCACACATTACTATTATCAAATGCTCTTTATGTGTTTAAGATTCATTGTGTTGGGAACTTGCCGTGAAATATCACAGCAAATATCACACTGCTCCAGTCTTGATGCATTCTTTCTAGATAGCTCTGGATCATTTCGGTTTCTTTGAGGAACTGAAGAAACCAGCTCTACGAGGGCAGTGTCGGCGTAGCATATGAAGTCATCATAGGTTTGTTTGACGGTTTGATTTTTTACTCCTGGCATGCAAAACTGGTAGTGCATCAAGTACTACAAAACCTGCACTTAATAGTTTGCAGAGTAGTGTTGTCTTTAAGGATGCGAGAAATGGCATATGTTCCACTTAGGATAAAAGTAGGGTTTCTGTGAACTGATGTGAACTATAGGCTTTTTCGTTCTTTTCTCTCTTTTCTCCTCAACTCAGCACTTTTATTTTTGATAATATTAGTGTAAAGATGATAATAGAGTGTAAGAGAGATCAATATTTTTTTGAAAACAAGAAAAACCAAAGATTACGGAGTGAGGGCAACAACGATGGAAGATGAAAACGCTTTTACTCCAACGCTGTGCTTCGCGCAAGTTTCAAGTGATAGATATTCGAAACACGCGTGATCAGATTCTAAGTGACGAGAGAAGATCCAAATGCGAGTGATCAAATTGCTTTGTGTGAATTCCATTCATTCTTATAAGTGGAAGTCCAAACGAATGCTGGCTACATACCTGCGATGCATGCATAATAATAACCTGAATATTAAAACTGTGCGCTACTCTTGTCGCCCGCAATAAAGTGGATAATAACTCCCCGTTGCATGAATCAAAATAATAGGGAACTTAAGAACCACGACGACGACTTGGTCGACAACGACCGGAAGTGAGTTACAGTGTACTGCGCAAGCGCGCCCAGTAAATTTCGTCGTCGAGGTGTCGTCGACGACGCTAAACAAAGTAGAATCACGTCGTCCTGCAATCCACAAGCTTCGGCAGGTATAAATCCACTGTTTTAAGCGATTTTTGAAGTCCTTAGCATTTTCTTATCCTCGTAAATCCAGGTATTGTTCCTTTTTTCTCCTAACAAGCAATGCTGATTGAAAATTCGACTAATGAATTATTTTTACTTCGAAGAATGATAACATCTGTGGAGGCCGAGCGAGCGAAATCGTAAGCTATAAATTTATTTGTACGTATTTAGGTAAGGCAAATCATATATCTTTAATATGGGGGAAATAAACTTTATATAGAAAACAGCTATCACATCAGAATGTCTTTTTGTCGAAATCTAAACTCTGACAGACACTCGGACTCGGTCCTCTCATTCAAGTTGAAAGTTGAATAACTTCGTACGGAAAGTAGGTGTTTTTCCACTCGAAAAGGTCAGACAACACAAAACATTCTTCATCGTCAATGAAATTATTAGACGAACGGCTTAAAAAATAAGATCTTGCATCGTTTTGAAAGACGCCATTGCGAAAAACTTTGTTGCGAACCAACATCACAGTTTTACATTTATGTTTACATTCAGTGTCGTCGTCGTCGACCTACCCACCGACTGTATCTTAAGTTTCCTTTTTCCCGCCGAAACTGACGTTCTCGTTCCAGTCTTTTCCCAGTCAACAGACGTCGTCGTTGTGAACTTCGTCGTGGTTCTTAAGTTCCCTAATAGGACCATCTCGATCACGCTCTAAAGGTCTCTGTAAGTGTCTCATGTTTTATTTTTGCAGTAGGTTGGCTGAGCAGTTAAATTCTCAAAGAGTGCAATTCACTTCAATCAAAGTATAAAAATGAAACATCCTATCTTTCCAAGGGTGAAAAACGGCATAGTCTCTCACAAACAAGAGAGCAAGAACCGGGGCACCAAACGTCAATTTTTGGAAAATATCTGTTCGGAAGACGATTTGAGATCTAGAATATTCGGAACATTTGTTGGAAAATTTCTTGCTTGCCTGCCTCTCCCAGGATTTTCGAACATCTAAAAAATGGTAAGTTTACCCATTTTTAACGGATTTTACCCTAAAAAGGTCACCTAGAATTTTCGGGAACCTTTTTTCTGGCTGAAAGTTTCGGAAAGGTAAGTTTTATCCCTATAATTTTTGGATCACTAGACTTTCAGCTACAGAAATCCGAACAGATGAAAAATTTTTAGGGGATGAAAATATTAATGAAGTGTTCTGAAGTGTCAGCGGGTGCATGTATAATGTTGTAGTGCTTTAACTCAAATTAATTCCTCCCTTTAGAACTTAACTTGCTTCTACTTGGCCTTTCCTTCTGACAAGAATCATTTACACACTTTTTTAAAATAATTTCAGAAAATCTCTCAGAAAAGTAGGTAACAGGTATTTTATAGGGTTCATCTTGCACTACTATTAAGAAAATGGGAATGCAAAAGTTTTTTACACCGCTTTCTTCCCTTTTCTGACTCTTCCGGACCAAAACAAAAAGGCCATTACCCCTCTCCCCAAGGACAAAATGTGCCTCCCCCCGCGCATATTTGAGTGGGGTCCATAGCTAAAAATTATTAGTACAACTAGTACTATCACTGTGCCGAGTTTGATGCTTTTACCCCAACTGCACAATTTAGCTATCTTTTTTACGCCATATGGCTGGACTAACCCTTTTGGATAAAAAAAAAAAAAAAAAAAAAAGAACTTTACATATGTATGTGAAGTTTGCTGTCATTATCAAGTAAAAATCAATGACAACTCATGGCTGAATAATGCTTACTGGCTTTTTCATCGTTAACAGTACTTCAATATATGTCGAAAAATTGGGTAGTGGTCCCCTACTTTCCCCAACGCTACTTGGAAGAAAAATGCTAAAAACGTTTGAGAAGAAGAATCTAAACTGAACAAAGATCTTAAAGGAGGTTTTCTAACCCTGACTAGTCTAATTACTATTTCAAATGCAGTAGATAACAGCGACACATGACCACCAATAATAATAAAGTACAAGTGAGACCTACTCGTTTTAAAAAACTTTTATTCTACTCTAACCACTAACCGCCTTATTCCATTGTGGCAATAATCAATACTATAGCCACTTATCTCTTGAAAACCTAAAAAGAAAATTCAATCCAAACCCTTCAAGCTTAAAAAGGTCCAAAAAAATAAAGTTAACGCAAAAAAAAAAATACAAAATTTTATGGGAAAAACGCTCTCTCATATATTTTATTTTTAAACTCGCTTCGAAATTAATGAAAACTGTTCTTACAGTAGGTTCTTTAAGCGCATCATTATTGGCTTATTTGTCTCTCAAAACTGATTCCAAAACAGCAAAGGGAACAAAGTGAAACAACCAAACATCTCTTTAGACCAGGGGGGGATCTAGGGGGAGGGTGCCCCCCCCTCTGAGATGACCTGCGGTTTTCTAATACAACTGGTATTCTGCAAAAAATAAAAACTATGTAGTTTATTGGTGTTGAAGTAGAGCAAGAGACGAGTGCACCCCCTCCTAAACAAAATCCTGGATCCGCCCCTATAGCGTAAAATTCTCAGCTATGTAGTCATCGAAATGAGCCGATTATCCAAGGTGCACTTAACTTGTGCATGCGACAAATTACTTTTATGCCTAGACAAAATTTGATCAGAAAAGTAAGAAAAGGTAAACAACTGTTTTCAGGAAGCAAGTAAGGCTTTGCAGTCTGCCAACACGGTTCACTCAGTTTTTTGTTCTGTTCTTCTGTATCACTATTTGCCACTTGTTTGGCCTGCTCTTCAGGTTGTGGCTCATCAACTTCCATAGAGACCTCCACATTTCTGTTACTCGGCAGTAAAACTGGGTCACGTGACGCTTCTATGATTAACAAGCCGTTCTTGGAGAGGCGTGGCGTCACTGAACCAAGGTCTGCGTCATCAGGCAAAAAAACACGATGGCCGTACGTACATGTAGTCACGTGAAAAATAGAAATCTTGGTCTTCTGATTTGTGTTTTCCCGTGACTTTGAGCTCATGTCCACGAAGCTGGACTTTGATATCTTCTGGTTTAAATCAACGCAGATCCAATTTAACCTGAAATTTGCCATCGTCTTGTTTTGCTTTCTCTTCAACGCGTCTGTTGCCTTCAAGAAGCAGCACGCTGCCACTTTTTAGATTTTTGATCACACGCGACTTTACTGTTGTTCGATCAACTCCGTCATGCAGCTTAATAATCTTTTTAAACTCATTATTCTCAAATCCATCTTCTCTCTCTGATCGATGCTGACCGTGTAAGATGATACCTTCGCCGTCAACACCGAGTGAAATGTCTTCTCTCTGGTACTGCTTTAGTGGCAGAGAGGCAATCTTGATTGGGCCCTGGACTGCCAAATTATTTTGCCTGCATTGAAAGTTAGTGTCTCGCGCCTGTTCGTTACAAGGAAGAGCTAACTCTTTCCATAAATCATCCAAAAACCCAAAACCTAGAACAGCTTCATTGTAGTCTCTGCTGTGGAAATAAATGAGAAAAATGACAGTAAATTAGGAAGACTGACTGTATGCTTCAGACGCTTTATAATTAACTGGTAATTCATTTAAAACGTTTTATCGTATTTAAAGCTTTCCCTCTTAAAGGTTGGTAACAGAGAATAAACTCAACGCCTATTCGCCTCAATGCTTCACTAATTTCGGCTTTTTTTCTTATGAGGTGCAATCTTTCGTATTAAACGACTGACACCAAGCAAACCCAATACTCGGTCAGAAGTATTGTTGACTAAAGAATTGAAGGCAAAAAAAAAATTTAGAAAAAGCACTGAACAAGCCGGAAAATTAAGCTTCTTGTGTGAGCAAAATTGAGCAATAACTCAATTCTTACCGACAAAGAAAAAAATCTGTTTTCGAAAAACTTACCGGGACATCGGATAATAAGTTGGAAATCCGAAGACGAGAGCCATGTCATCGAAAACTTTGCTTGTAATTTCACTTCTTGAAAATCGTCAGCCAAATCTTGAGTCTTCAAAGGACTTTTTGAACTGTTTGTTGGTGA